CTAGTTAATTAACGTATTTTACGTTGTCTTAACATTCTAGTTAATTAACGTATTTTACGTTGTCTTAACATTCTAGTTAATTAACGTATTTTACGTTGTCTTAACATCTAGTTAATTAACGTATTTACGTTGTCTTAACATTCTGTTTAATTAAATAGAATGTTAAGACAACGTAAAATACGTTGATAGCTTTCCCAGTAGAGAACAGTACATATGAAACAGAGGAGAAATTCACTTCAATTTTTATTCGTCAATTAGCATGTTGTTTTGGTCGTGTGTTTTCTTAAGCTGTAGCTGAATATTGAAGAAAGAATCTCAAAGTGAAAAGTTTTACAGAAAACTATCGTGACACCAAGTTATATGAAATGTTGTTGTATCGTTGTGAGGAGCCCAAAGCATAACGTTTCCTCAACGTATATTTGCAACGTTGTTATTACGTTGTGACATAACGTTATAAAGTGATGCTATACTTACGTTGTGACAACGTTGTGTCATGACGTTACCAACCTACAACCTTCCCACAACGTTGCGAAAATGTGTGTTAGCTGGGAACCTACTTCGTTAACTACATGGTAGCTGCATTGTATCTACCCGTGAAGATCCGGGTTTGAATGAACCTTCAGTAACCCATGCTTGTCGTAAGGGGACTAACGGGATCGGGTGGTAAGGCTTGCTGACTTGGTTGACACATGTCATCGGTTCCCAATTGCGCAGATCGATGCTCATGTTGATCACTGGATTGTCTGGTCCAGACTCGATTATTTACAGACCGCCGCCATATAGCTGGAATATTGCTGAGTGCGGTGTCAAACTAAACTCACTCACTTCGTTAACTACATTGTAGCAGCGTTAGTAAAACCATGGAACGTCAATGATAGATTAGTATGGCTTCTAGAAATCAATAGTCTCATTATCTTATTGGTTTTCGCAAACATAGTAGCACTACTGACCATTTGGTTCAGGCAGAACTATTCATTAATAATTCCAAAGTAAATATTCAGCACATTGTATCAATCTTTTTCTACCAGGAAAACGTATATAATACAACATGGAAGACTGACGAGCCTTCTCTTAACCAATGCCGTATCAAATTATCTTTGCAGTATATCACTAAACCATATTCTAGTCAGTCGAACCTTGCATATAACTGTGTCTTTAATCCCCTCTATTGACCCGAATAACATGTTTTGTTGTTTTTGCAATAATGTAAATGAGAGTGTGTGTCATGTGAACTGGGAATGTCAGGAGACACAAACCTTTTGGATAAACCTACAAATTTGGCTCAACAACTTTTTCCCACAACCATTGATATTATCTTAAAAACATGATTTGGTTGGGTACTCCATATGAAGATAGAATGCTAAATCACATCATCATTGCTGCGAAGTGACATATTCACATCTGCAGTATTAAAAATATGCTTCCAAATCTAACTTTATACATAAAAGCTCTGAAAGAAATCTTTTTAAAAGAAAATCATATATCAACAAAAAAAAACATAAAATACATAATTTCAATCACAAATGGAGCCTTCTCTCCCCAGCACTAGAGGACTCTTAACTGTATCGATGTGTACCCGGCATTATCTATACATGATTAATGTAATGATTTATGCATGTATATGAATATACTAATATATTGATATCATACTTGTACATCATGTAGCTGTATTACTTTAAGCCTTAAGTATCACGGCTTTGTATATCTGTGATATTGTAATCTTTGGTACCAATAAATAAAAGAAAGAAATAATTATAATACATACAAATCCTTATTTCCAGATGGATCCAAGGATGGTGGTGCCGTGACTTGTACCACTGTCATTGGATCTTTTAAAATGTTCACCTGCAGTGTACCCTCGTGACGCCGAAGTCCCGGGTTCGATTCCCACATAGGTACAATGTGTGAAGCCCATTTCTAATGTTCCCTGCCGTGGTAGTGCTTGAATATTACTAAAACCTTCGTAAACTAAACTCATTAGAATAATCTGGCTTTGAGACAATTGTGTAATTTTTCGATTCCAAATAGTTTTGCCTTTAGATTTAGACATTTCAAGCTCTATACCTTATTCATTATAGTACATAAAAGATGTAATTTACTACACTACTTACACATGCTGTGTTTACAATAGTAAATAGTCCTTTAACAAAACATGAAAAAGAAATTGAATTTCCTCTGACTTTCATCAGAAATGCTTCCAAGAATAAGCTGTCATCAATCTTCAGTTTAATATCAGTCATCAACATTTTCACCATTTGACCATTTGATATTCACCAACTAGAATGAGCGTATTAAAAGAGTATGGAAGTATTAAATTTCCAATAACCCTCCCTCTTTTGGTTAATAGTGTTTGAGAAAGTAAAGCTAATGACGCTATGCTAATGTAAATGGTCGAAGATGATGATGTATACAATGGTACTTACCATGCCCCAGATGAAGCCAAACAACAAAAGGTATCCCAAAGGAGACGAGCCCACAACAACAGAGCCTGTGACAAGACATCATACACTGCAATAGCTCGATGGCGACGGTATGCGTCCACACGCGTTAAACGGACGTTTAATACTTTTGTTTGCAAGGTGATAAGTTTCGTAGTTGTTAAGCATTTACAGATCCATCTTTCTGTTGTCATAATATATTAATATCATATTGTATTACTCCTCGGATAAAATTGTCGAATTCTGATTGGTCAATAGCCAATGCATACTACACCGGTTGTACAAATGACCTTGACCTTAGATGGAATGTGGCTGCTAAAAAGCTGATCGTTTCAAAAGTTTAGGGTTGGCGTATACAATTATGAGTGTGAACAGAGTAATAAAATTGTTGTCATAATTTCTTATTTGTTTGTGTCAATAAAAATATTCAAAAAAATAAAATGTTTCTGTATTTCACTTGTAGTTTTACGAAACCTCATATTCGATCATCTAGCCATGAATTTATGAAACACGATTATAAACATGGTAGGATTAAATATAATGTGAAAGACGTAGATATACCTAACCAAAAGACATCAACAACGTTAGATAGATGAGACAGAAATTCCTGAGTTGTCGCAACTAATCCAATGACACAACATTCAGGGTGGTGGTAAAGTGAGATTAGACCGTCAGGATGAGAACAATCTTGCGATATTTTAACCCTCGTGAGTATATCGCCACTAACATTATCACTGACTAATTTATACAAATCAATTATAAATATAATTTATCTATTTACAAAACGTTTTCGAACAATTCTACATCCTTAAATAATTCAGTAATTAAATGACATTTAAAATTATTAAAAATATCCATGGCTGTTTTTACACTTAAACATTGCCAAACTTCACAGTGTACAGCGACAACAACCCGCTAACCTACATCCTGACATCAGCCAAGTTACATAGCACAAGGCACAGATGGGTAGCAGAGCTGGCCGACTATAACTTCACGATCAAGTATAAGCCTGGAAAGAAGAATATTAGATGCTGATGGACTTAGCAGAATGCCTTTGGACATTGACAATTTTATGTCAGAATGCACTTGCGAGATCGACCACGAACCGATTTAGGTGTCAATTGAAGTTTCTAAGGCTATTGGAGAAGGGGATATTGTTTGGATTTCATCACTAACAGATGACCACTTATGCCTATCAGAAGTAGGCTTGACACAGAGCAACTCCTCACACTTCCGTCGCTTCACCGCTGAAGATATCAGGAGAGCTCAAGAGGATGATGATCATGCTGGGTCGGTGCTTCGTAGCCTGCACAGGAAGCGAAAAGGTAGTGTGAAGATCAATGAAAAGAACAAAACAGAAACGACTGATCTTCTGAGAGAAAGGAAGAAACTGTTTCTCAACAGTGATTGTGTTCTCTGTCGGCGGACTGTCTTGTATGGCACTGAAGAAAGAACTCAAATAGTTCTTCCCAAAAAGTTCAGACGACTTGTGATGGAGGAGTTTCACAACGAGATGGGACACTTGGGTTCAGACAGAGTCATCGCCTTGGTCCGGGAAAGGTTTTACTGGCCTTACATGCAACTGGATGTGGAAAGATATGTTACCAAGGAGTGTACATGTTTGAAAGACTGGAAACCGACTATCCCGACGAAAGCACCGCTGAAGCCAATATCAACATCTGCACCATTCCAGTTAGTCTCTATTGACTTCCTCCATCTAGAAAGAAGCACAGGTGGTTATGAGTACATCTTAGTGGTTTGTGATCACTTCACAAGGTTTGCTCAGGCATATGCAAAACGAAACAAATCGGCAAAGACTGCTTCAGAGAAATTTTTTAATGACTTTGTGCTCAAGTTTGGATTTCCAACTAAGCTCCATCATGATCAAGGTGCGGAATTCGAAAACCAGTTGTTTTATCATCTTCAGAAATATTGTCGCATGGCCAGATCGAGGACTACCCCCTATCACCCTGAAGGTAATGGACAAGTCGAGCGCTTTAACAGGACCCTGCTCAGCATGCTTCGTACCTTACCGAGAAAAATGAAAAGTAACTGGAAGGATCACTTGAACAACATCAATATTGAAAGAAATCATGTTCCAGCACATATTTAGTATACATTATATACCAGGCTACAGACCACAAGCAGGAAAGGTAGACCTTGGGGGTCATGGGGACCTATAGAGCGTCGGCTTCTTGCATGATTCCCAGCGGTATTACCTGATCACTCCTACAACTGCACAAGAAACGATTTGACAGGTTACTCGCCATTCTATCTTCTGTATGCTCGGTCACCACGACTACCAGTTGACTTGATGTTTGGTTTATATGACAACCAGTCCAAGGGAAATCACTCTGCGTATGTTCAGAAGTGGAAACAGTGCATGCAGCAAGCATATGACCAAGCGAACACGATCGCCCAGAAGACTTCAGCTAAAGAAAAAGAACAGTATGACAAGAAGGTGAGAAGTACCACCCTTCTGCCTGGAGATATAGAGTGCTCGTCAGAAATATGACGGAGAGAGGAGGGCCTGGGAAGCTGAGATCCTACACTGTTAACAGAAGATTCACATAGTCAACAAACAACTGATGGAGGACAGCCCGGTATATGAAGTGAAGCCTGAGGATGGAATCGGTAGGACTAGAGTGTTGCACAGAAATATGTTGCTCCCCTGTGATGGACTGCCAGTTGAAAAAACGGAGGTTAAAAGGGAAGAGAAAAAAATCAAGGCTCCAGTGAAGAAAAAAGTTGTAGACTATCAACAGTCAGAAAATGAAAGTGATTCTTCTGTTAGCAGTGATCTTGAGGACTTTGAAGTGATTATCCCCGGTCACCCGCAAGAGACTGAAAGAAGACCGAATCAAGTGTCAAGTCAGTCCATGGATCGCGGTAATGGTAACTGCACTGATGAGGATGGAGAAGCTAGTAAAGCGTCTAGCGAAGAATCACAGGCAGGTGAAGGTTCCTTAAGTGGTACAGAGTCTGCTGATCCACCGCAAAAAAAGGTTGAAAGTGATGACGACTCAATGCAGGACGCTGATGATGAGACCAACATCAGGGACCCCCGACCGCAGCGTCGACGAAGAAGGTACCCAACCAGACTGACATATGACACCCTTGGGAACCCGACGAGGTGTGAACTACGACCGACAATGAATGTGTTGAGTAACCCCCAGCCGGTGTTATCAGCCCCACTACAGCGCCTCTATCAGATTGTAGTATCGCCAGTGATATCGAACCCATGGACCTATCAGGTAGTGTGGAGACCTGTGCAAATGGTCAACTGCCACTAAACCAAGATATCGGATACACTGAATGATCATATGAAGCAAGCACTGCAGAATATTATTGAATTACAAGTTTTATGTCTGTAGACATGCAGGTTTACCAGAATTATCCCACTGGGTTAACTATATGTTCCATGTAGACTTGCAGTATTATGTTGACTGGCCATCTCATAGTATTGTGGTTCTCAAGCGGTTTCGATATTCGGGTTGTATATTGGAATTTAGAGTGGGAATGTTGGTATTGTGGATTACTGAACTTGTGTATGGCTATGAACCAAAGGTATTTTAATCTGTGGCAAATTGAATGTTGATTAGTGGTTAATATTTACTTGTAATTGTATTGATAGTTGCATACAAATGTTTCGAAATGTCGGGTCGACATTTTTTATGGGGGCGAGTGTAAGAATGTAGAATATTAGCTACCTTCGGTAATATGCCAATGGTCAAAGGGGGATAACTCTGCCCGAAGAGCTGAGGGACGTCCGTTGTCAACGGACCAATCAGATTGCAGCGTCATGCTCGTGTCTGGAGCCCGCCATAATAAAATTGGATCGACATAAATCTGCTCTGTTGTTTTAGGTATGTATGCATTTCTGTAGGTCGAAATAAAGTCTTCTGTACACAACTACGTATTTGTAACATTACCGGGTACCGGAAAATAGTCATTTAGGGACTTGTAATGCTGTTTATGTGATGTTTTGGGTAATTTATCAATGTCGAGGTGAAACGCTCGTGATTTTGTGAAGGTCAAGTTGTCGAGTAACGCTTACACTCGATTTAGATTCAATTATTATTGATCTCGTACTTACAATAGGTGTTTTACTTATTTAAATAGTCAAAACAATTATTTTAGGCATATGTTATTGTAGGAAAACCAATAATAGTAAATAGCCGCCAACTTTGATTGAAGTTTGAGTGTCTCCTAGTTTCGTGGGTCACGTGACTGGTATACACCCCACCCCCCGCCATAGGGGAAGTAACTCTAATCTGTTTATATAGTGGAAGTTGATTTTACTCATCGAGAAGTGAGTTACGGGTAATGTTGTGACTATGTATTATCTCAATGTATTTTCACTTGCAAATTGGTAAAACACATGTAACTGGTATTCTATAGGAATTATTGTCAAGTCATTTTGTAATTTTGAATAAAGCAAAAGTATTGTTAACATATTTTATGTGACTATGGGTCATGTATAAAATGATATTTCTATGAATATGTATATCAGAAATAACTGCTCTTCATGCATGACGTAATCATACATTAGTGATTTTGTAACAAATGAATAAGTATTTCCAATATTTCAAAATATCATATTGGGTGACATAATGTATTATCACCAAATGCCTGGATTTGATATTGTCATCCGTTGGAGTATTATCTTGGTGAAAAGAATGAGTTATTTTACAATTTCCTTGTTGTGATTAATTCATTTAAAATTTGACAGTTAATTTTCCAGTTGAATCCTTTGTGAAAAGTCAGAAACATTTTATAATAGAAATGGTGTGAGAATCTGATGTACTCAGGATATTATATCCGGGGCGCAATAGTGGTTGTAGCTTGTATGACACATGTGTCTGGAGCCCGCCATAATAAAATTGGATCGACATTAATCTGCTCTGTTGTTTTAGGCTGGTTGCTGAGGGTCTTACATTTGCACTATCGATACACATTTTCTGCATATTACATTAGGTCCCACATCTTTGTCAAATTTTGCGTTGTATCAAATACGTTCATCAAAGAACATTAACCCTTAAATATTGCACTGTTAACACACGTGTTAGGACTGCATTTCAGCTCACAATGATGGACATATTTTTGAAGTCAATAATATAACATTAAGTTTTCAGAAATAATAGAAGACCTTAACCCTTTAGTATTGCACGATTAACACACAATTTCTGGGTAATACTTTGGCTCCCAAATTTTGCTTTGAATGAAAAGCATTAATGAAAGAACATTAACCCTTTAGTTCTGTACTGTTAACACACATTTTCAGCTCACATTATGTGTACTAATCTTTGAAGTAAATTAAAGACCTTTATGTTTTCACATTTATACTTTATTTACTATTAACACATATTCTGGACATTACGTAAGCTCCAAAGTCTTTCACAAATTTTCTCCACGATATTGTTATTCATAACTCAGCATTTATACTTGTTCAAACCTGACTTTTGTTTCAAATGAAGCTTCACACTTTTCACTTGTACAAACACTGCACATGTAAACTTTTTATAACACTATGTGAGTTCTTTAGTTTTGAGTTAGGCCCTACATATGGACATTTATAAAATCCCATCATGCACCTGTACCCAGAATGCCATATAAACATGGAGAACACTTGGCAGTACACGTTGCCTCAGCAGATGATCTTGCTGCTTATCTTCGTTGTACTGGTTTTCATAGCAGTGGTTTTGAGGTTCACTTTCAGAAGACGGGATCTCATTTTTAGGAGATTGGATCAGGAACTAGCTTAAGGCACAAATAGGTTGCAGGTGCATATATATCTATTCTGCATGCATTTCTGACTTTATACATTAACATTTTCATTGGTTACTTAGTGAGTGAGTGAGTGAGTTAATATTTAACGTCACATCGGCAATATTTCAGCCATATCGTGACGAGACCATTTGATATTGAAATGAAATATATGTATATTATAAAAATACCTGCCGAATAACTTGGATATTGTACCCATTGTAACATTACAATGGCATGTTTCACAGCTCCAGATAACTTGTTTAATGATTGGATATTACCCACTTGTTTTCAGCTGTATTTGTGTATTCCCCTTTTCCCTTAGGTAATCAAATCGTTGTTACCCGTCTTGGTGAGAATGTATTGGTAATTTCCAAAACAACACATATAAGTCATATTCGATGTCTAAATGAAAATGACATTAGTGTAAATCCATATTCTTGGCATAGTTTCATTGGTTATATGTGAACTTGGCATATTTTCTTACATGATAAGCATTTTCATCTTGAAATAGCTCATCTGTCTATATGTTGAAGCTAAATTAGTTATTATTAGTTTGTATTATTAAGGCAGTGATGGATATTGTTTTCCTTGCTTTGCAGGACAACTAAATATATTTCAAAATTACTCCCATTTTCATCAGCTGAATCAGAGGCTTTAATATTGTCAAGCACAATTCTACCATGGCTACGTGAAATGCTAGAATTTGATTGGTCAAGCCATAAAATCAGACGGTATCAATTTGGATTGAAAATGCGTCTGATTTCACGGCGCTTCACTGCGCACGTATACAACACTGCCGCACTACTTCAGCTTGACCATCAACATGACTAATATCAACACAACAGACGTGATGGAAATGCAGATGAAACATTTATTAAAACTCAAAAAATACAATTATATGATTTCTCCTCCACAATTATTAGGGAACCTCACTATCATAATTATTACCTTCTTCTATTATAAAAATATTCAAACTCAATTACAATACACAGCCCCAAACATAAACAAACAATATCTAACATATAAATCAGAAAACCTTGTAAAAATACATCCCTGTCTATCCCTATTTGTGCGGCAAAACGTTTGTAAACATTTACCTACCTGGTAAAATGGTATATGTTGTTTCCGTTTAGAATGGTAAATTCGCAAGATAATGGTCAGGCGAAACACAAAATTTGCCACTCATACTCCATCATGTCCCGTTGCATCGTTCAAAATGTCAAAAACTGAACCATGAGAATTCAGTTCTCTGCCACCTTCCCCGAAGGATGTCACTGCTATGTTCGTACACTTTGAAAAGCTTGGCCACAATCCAGTCCCAAATGATGAGAACAATGTTCCAAGGAATCCCAAGTTAGTTGCATGTACACAAAGCTGCACTGTCACTCTTCCTCGCATGCCGGGGTGGAGGCACGTACGTGAAATCATGATCGACACTCGCCGGTCATAAAAAATCAACAGTCTTTGATGAGTTACAGGTTATAGGTCGATCAGAAAGGATCTATTCTTCGATTCTGCAGGGTTCAGGTTCGACAGTCAGTCAAGTATTTTCCACTGTCACTTCGAATTTCAACCTTTCGCAAAAAATGTAAACACTGGCTCGTCCGCCATTTCAAACTGTTGCGTAACTGTCTACTTCCAAGAAAGTAAGTAGGTCAGACGATTCCATTATACTGTGGCCAGGGGGGTACAGTAATACGGCACACAAAACAATAGGCTGGTTTTGGTCTTGTGGAGTTATGATTATAAAAACCAAGCTCTTAGGTGTTACATTATTGCATTGAATAAACAGTAGTTTGTTTTCTTTGGACAGAATATTTTTTATGTTGCAATGTTAAAAACAATACGAACGGAACCTACCACACCTTTATCAGACGAGTTCAATTGGCCTGTGTTTGGAAATTAGATGAATGTTAGATCGAATTGATAGTCTCTAAATTAATAATTTGAAACATCACGCTACGCGTTCGGCTTCAAATACAATCCATAAAGTTGTGTCATCTCTGTATCAGCAACTTCTTGAATGCCAAACAAATCATGAAGTTGATGTTTTGTTATGTTATATAAAAATTCATCTATTTGCTTTACGCTATTATATTCAGTCATATTTTGAATTGAAACCAATTAAATATGTAATATCATGTTGTAGGGAAGCAGTATCTATTGTTTTAGTGTTATTTACAATACTCTAATATAGAATATTTGAAAAATTAAGCATCTATGCAGTGTATGCAATTGCTTACAAAACACTGTACTTGGTAACTAGTCTTATCATATAATAGCAAAATGTGGATACATTAAAAAGTATTGAAATTATGTTACTTATTAGTACAATTCATAGGTTCGTTTATATGTTATGTGTTACTACATTAACATTTTCACCATGATGTATTTGTTTAATGCATTAAGTACTTTTGCTAAGATTTGTTTTTAATTTTCCAGACAAGGTAAAACAGAAACGTCAAGGACTGCTGAAAAAATACAAGGCTGATGTGGCAAAAGCCCAAAGCATAAACAAAAGCATACAGGAAGGACGTGATCACCATAAACCAGGAGCACCTAACCGAGATGTGACCCAGGAGCACCTGACCCAGATGTACCAGGAGCACCGGACCCAGATGTACCAGGAGAGACTGACCACCAGGGGCGATTGAGTATCAAGAGCACCTGACCTAGATGTACGAGGAGAGACTGACCAAGATGTATCAAGAGCACCTGACCTAGATATACCAGGGGCGATTGACGAAGATAAACCAGGAACACCTGATCCAGATGTACCAGGAGAGACTGACCAAGATGTACCAAGAGCACCTGACCTAGATATACCAGGAGCACCGGACCCACAAGTACCAGGAGCACCTAACCCAGATGTATCAGGAAAAACTGACCAAGATGTACCAAGAGCACCTGACCTAGATATACCAGGAGCGATTGACGAAGATAAACCAGGAGCACCTGATCCAGATGTACCAGGAGAGACTGACCAAGATGTACCAAGATCTACCCGTAGCACCTGACCGAGATATATCAGGAGCACCTGTCCAAGACATGACGGAATGGCCTGACCAAGGTGTAAATGAAGGACACGACTCATTTTGAACATGCTCATAAAACATCAGAGGAAATAATGGCAACTGTTAACCTGAAAAGAGAAATTGCACAAGAAAATGGGGAGAAAAAGGATGACCTCAGTCTCAAGTTAAATCAGCTCCAGACTCTGTTAAGATTTAAAGGGGACAACATCCATAACACAAAGGTCTGCCAGAGCAAGAAGGGTGAGATTCTTTTAGCAAGACGGAAGGAAATGAGTTCATTTGATGTATCCAAGTATGGTCCATGTATTGACTGTAAAGAATGGTTACTGTTGGAGAACATGACTAGACACAGGGATATATGTCTAGTAGCTGTTTTCCCAAAGAAATAATCTCAATCTCGTGTGCAAGAAGAGGATTTACCAAAGGATCAACGATCATACAGTCAAAAATTATGAAAGGGCTAATCTCTACTAATCCATCCAAAAGATTGGTCACAGAAGTTTTTCCGTCTATGAAAAGAGACCTTATCACGGAAGTAGCTTAGAATCATGAGCTTATTGTTTCTCTTGGGGAAGTATGGCTTATGAAGAACTTTGGCAACAGGCTTAGAAGAAGGAATTTTACAAGTTTCAGAATGAGATTAGCAGCACGACTTCTGATGTTGATGAGGGAAGGTTGTGGAAATGAAAACATGGCATATGCTTCAATGAATGATTTGTTGGTTCCATCTCAATTTGACCTAGCTGACGAATGTGCAATTAAGGCATGCAAGCAAAGTATTGATGATGATCTCCTGAACCCCAGCACAGCAATCAAGTTGGGGTATGACTTGGCACGACTGGCTTCTGCCAAACTTGGATTCTGCATTAAAAGTCAGAATGAAACGGGAAAACAAGAGGCTTTGGATTTTAAACGCCTCATTCAGATGGAATGGTCAGTGGAAGTTAAAAAAAGTGCAGGTGTCCTCTTAGATAAAAGACATTTCAACAAAGAGAAGTCCTTGCCCTTGCCTGAAGATATAGTACAGTTCGCATCATATCTGGTGCACGCCCTGGAGGAATTAGATCTCTCTGAACCCAATGCTCACCTGTTCAGGGAAGTTGTCATCTTGACTGAAAGCAGGCTTCTTCTGTACAACAGACGGCGACCAGGAGAATTAGAGAGCCTCAGGTAAGTAATGTTAATTTTTTTATTTTGTTTTCACTGACATTAAACAATATTCTGTTAAGCACTGTCCAGATAATTTTATGCTTTTATAGAAGGTTTTGTTACCACTGCAACATCACCCATAGAGGAGTTAATCTGTGTGGGAGGGAAATTAGAATTTGGAGTATAAATTATGGACTTTAACTTGCCACTCACAATATGGAAATTGTATTTATATTTTGATGGGCCGTAATATGGTCTGTTGTTCAGTTGTTTGTTACTTTAATATTTCTCCATTATTCTGCAGCGCCTTGAGCAAGCACTAGTCGCATGGATATTTGAAGGTACGGTGTAGAATAGGCCTTCAGCAACGCATGCTTGCCATAAAAGGCGACTATGCTTGTCGTAAGAGGTGACTAACGGGATCAGGTGGTCAGGCTCCCTGACTTGGTTGACACATGTCATCGGTTCCCAATTGCGCAGGTCGATGCTCATGCTGTTGATCACTGGATTGTCTGGTCCATACTCGATTATTTACAGACCACCGCCATATAGCTGGAATATTGCTGAGTGCGGCGTAAAACTAAACTCACTCACTCACTTTATGTACTCTTACAATTTGTTTTTCATATAACAGTCTTTTCTGTAACAGCTTTTTTGTTATTGGAAAGACCATCAGTGTTACTTCAAACAAACATCAATATTGATTAGTCACATATTCCTATTTATTTTAATGTCAATGTCATTAGCCGTTGAATTGTGGTAATGTCCTAAGGTTTATATATGCTGAAGCTGAAACATTTTTCTCACTTTCTATTCTGAATGCAATCATACTAATTTTTGTGGTGGTGGTGGAATTGGGTTTAACGTCGTGCTTGAGAATATTTCGCTCATATGATGACGTGCATGCGTGTGTGTATGTGTATGTGCGGCTGCTTGCACTAGCCCAGACTGAAGCTGGTTTTATAGTGCTAGCCCACTGCGATTACCATGCCGCAGTGAAGCATGAATACCCACTCAGACACATTATACTGACTCCGAGCCGACCAGTCCTTGTTGTACCCATTAATGCTGAGCGCCAGGTAGGGACCAACAAGTACCATATTTTAACGTCTTTTTGGTATGACGCGGTCGGGGATCGAACCGCGACCTTCCGCAGTCCGGGCGGACGCTCTAACCACTACACAACGGAGGCGGTCACTAATTTTTGTAAAAGGTTGTTATAGGAAAGACAAATTCTGTAACTGCAAAGCCAATTCAATTGGACTGATAGCAGAATTTCATCATCAGTGGAGCTCATGAAAAAACCTAGGAGTTCAAACTGACATGAAAAATTCTCAATAATTATGAACCGAACTATAGAATTAATTCTGTAGTGGTTCCATTTACAAATGGTGTGTTATACTGGTCGCATGGCCTGCTCCACGTGTCAAGGATTGCTACCTCGTGTAAAAGCTTACTGCAGTGTTATACTGGTGGCATGGCCTGCTCCACTTGTGAAGGATTGCTACCTCGTGTAAAAGCTTACTGCAGTGTTATACTGGTGGCATGGCCTGCTCCACTTGTCAAGGGTTGCTACCTCGTGTAAAAGCTTACTGCAGTGTTATACTGGTGGCATGGCCTGCTCCACTTGTCACGGGTTGCTACCTCGTGTAAAGCTTACTCAGTGTTATACTGGTGGCATGGCCTGCTCCACTTGAGGGTTGCTACCTCGTGTAAAAGCTTACTGCAGTGTTATACTGGTGGCATGGCCTGCTCCACTTGTCAAGGGTTGCTACCTCGTGTAAAAGCTTACTGCAGTGTTATACTGGTGGCATGGCCTGCTCCTGTTGTGTCACGGGTTGCTACCTCGTGTAAAAGCTTACTGCAGTGTTATACTGGTGGCATGGCCTGCTCCACTTGTCAAGGGTTGCTACCTCGTGTAAAAGCTTACTGCAGTGTTATACTGGTGGCATGGCCTGCTCCACTTGTCAAGGGTTGCTACCTCGTGTAAAAGCTTACTGCAGTGTTATACTGGTGGCATGGCCTGCTCCACTTGTCAAGGGTTGCTACCTCGTGTAAAAGCTTACTGCAGTGTTATACTGGTGGCATGGCCTGCTCCTGTTGTGTCACGGGTTGCTACCTCGTGTAAAAGCTTACTGGTGGCATGGCCTGCTCCTGTTGTGTCACGGGTTGCTACCTCGTGTAAAAGCTTACTGCAGTGTTATACTGGTGGCATGGCCTGCTGCACTTGTCAAGGGTTGCTACCTCGTGTAAAAGCTTACTGCAGTGTTATACTGGTGGCATGGCCTGTTGCATGGCCTACTGTGTCAAGAGCCAATGTTATACTTGTTCATGGACATTTTCAGATATTACCTTGTGCAAATATTGTTGTGAATATTTTGGAGTAGTTTTTCAGTTTTGGTGATAATATCAAATCTAAAGCTGCTCAAATCATGAAGATGTTGAAATGCGTTTTCATCAACATGACCACTACATCTTGCAGGCAACACAAACTTTACAGCACATAATAGCATGGATGCTGCCACTGCAGCCATAGTTACTACTATTTAGATGGTGTGTAGGGTGTTATAATTCATAACCTGACAATACAATACCAAAAATTGGTATTAATTTTTCAAACAGGAGAAGTTAGAACATATTACAATAACGTGAACATGACAATGTGTGGAGCGAGTGTTAATTTCCTATGACAAAACTAAATGCTTGGGGGCGTTGGAGAAGCCAAGTGGTTAAAGAGTTCGCTCGTGATGCTGAATACCCTGATTCGGTTCCCCACAAGCGCACAGTGTGTGAAGCCCATTTCTGGTCTACCCGCCGTGATATTCCTTGCTTATTGCTAAAAGCAGCGTAAAAATAATTCACTCGCTATATGCTTGGTCTGAATGTAAAAGGAAGTAAGGTCAAGCTTCAGTGAACTAAATAATGCCTTTTACAGTCATGCAACATGGACGCTTGTGCTCCTGTATGTGAGGTATGGCCACTGTGACTGTTTTGGGAAGCCTTTTTTCATGTAGAAATAGAAGTAAAAGAGTAGCATATCTTTAATGTTTATGAGTAAAATGCGGTGAATAAATTCAATCTTTTCTTCACTTTCATCGTCCTGCCTAAAATGTTTTTATTTTTTAAATTATTATTTATTTCAACAATTACAAATGCTGGTTTTCTAATTAAGATATTTGAAAATGTTCTTGGTGTTATTTTGTTCCAAACTTAACCAGTATATGCATCACAAAACATAATCTTTGAATGCCAAAACTTCATGTAAAAGCTCCTTATCCTGTAATCTTTATGGACACAGAAGCTCACAAGTCCCAAATGTTAGAACTTTGTTTATTTTGATCCACAATTATGTGTTATTAAACTCATAAGTTCGTTATACTCGTATATATATGTCAAATGTTGGTACGTCCGTCCTTCCGTAATCATTTTGTTTCCGGAGCATAACTCAAAAACTGTTCAATATTTTTCCACAAAAATTGTTAGATATATCAAACAGAAGCTAAAGTGGTGCCTTTTGCTGTTTACAGATTTTTGTCATTTTTATTTTTTAGTTTCCATGGAAACTTTTTTGGACTTAGTTCTAAAGGAGGGGTGGGCTTCGTTTCCGGAGCATAACTCAAAAACCGTTCAATATTTTTCTGCAAAAAATGGTAGATATATCAAACAGCACCTTATGTTGTGCCTTCTGCTATTTACAGACTTTTGTGGTATATTACTTTCTCGGTTTCCATGGAAACGATTCGGACTTAGTCTCAAAAGGGAGGGGTGGGCCCCATTTCCGGAGCACAACTCAAACACTTCTTAATATATTTCAGCAAAACTTGGCAGATATGTGAGGCCGATCCCAAAGTAGCGCCTTTTGCTATTTACAGGTTTGGGTCATTTTTATTTTTCTCGGTTTCCATGGAAACGATTCGGACTTAGTCTCAAAAGGGAGAGGGGGACTTCGTTTCCGGAGTACAACTCAAAAACTTCTTAATATCTTTCAGAAAAACATAGCAGATATGTGAGGAAGATCTTGAAGTGGTGCCTTTTGCTATTTGCAGATTTTTGGCATTTTTATTTTTCCCGGTTTCCATGGAAACGACTTAAACTTAGTCTCAAAAGGGAGGGATGGGCTTCGTACACAACTCGAAAAACGTTCATTATCTTTCAACAGAACTTGACAGACATGTGAGACAGGTCTTGAAGTGGTGCCTTTGGCATTTACAGATTCTTGGCATTTATATTTTCATGATTTCCATGAAAACGATTTGGACTTAGTCAAAAAAACATCAAGCTGGACTTTAAGTAACTGTCAGATGATTTGTTCTTTCAAATATGTGGGGGCCGGGGGATATGTCATCTTTTGATGACTCTTGTTTTTAAAATTATGGAAATCAGAATCTCTGCGTGCAAAACACGCTCGCAAAATATTTTTGCATGTTTTTAATATTTTTTTCATGAAATACGCAGGTTTCTGCGTTAACGCGAACACTGGCCCGACGGGCATAAACACAGCCTCCTTTAAGTTAGTCATCTGTGTCATTTCTCCAGAAGAAGCTAAACACTTGATCTTCTTAAGCAGCTTCTGAGTGCTGCAGATCTAAAGCTTCATTCGTGTGCGTTCTTGTAGCTTACTTTGTGAGTGAGTGAGTGCTGCTTAAAGCCGCATCAGCAATTTTGCAGCTATTCACGCCTAGAAAACAAATGTGTTCCTATGAAAACGAACATAACGAAAACTACATCTTAGCATACGTACGTTGGTACAACATGTTCCCATTCACTTTGCATTGGTTCATCCTAATATCAACCTCTTATGACGTCATTAGCGGTTGTTTTCAAATATCCCCCTTTGGGGATTATCATTATATCATTCAAGGGGCTTACAATACCAATGTTTACTCGGGCGAATATCGAAAACCACAGGTTCACCTCGGTTATCCATGGCCATATTCTCCCTCGCGAAAAAACGACATCGGCAATTCTTGAATATTTCTCTTCCGTCTCGGGAAATATTCAAGATTTACCTCTGTCAAAATGACAAAAAGGATGGGCAAGTTTACTTTTTATTACTTTTTCACCACACCATTAAATCGTAGCGATAATTGCGCCAGAAGAGGTTGGAGAAAGCAAATTCTCCTGTGTAGGTGTGTCGGGAACGCTTGACGCATCCACAGTCGGATCTTCTGTTCCATTCAATATTGAGCTGATGGCATCCGTTTGGTCCTCCGAAGTTCGTTTATAGGTCCTCACACCTGAAAACAGAATGTTTGATATGTAAACAGTGTATATACTTGTGTCGTGCAAAAACTTTTGCCGTGTTCACAACAGTAAGTGAGTGAGTTGGACTTTCACGCCGCTTTCAAGAGTATTTCACTTATACTCATGTGCAAAAGAAACGTCCCCAAAATTTAAGTTATATTATATTTGCTGAATATGGCCAAACACATGAAAAACAGTTCGGAACACATTGCCCAAACACACAAATGTATGACACCCAAAGGAAATGCACGTGTTGTATGCCAGAAGCGTGAAAAATGACTTTATTCATCCGTGAGGAGATCCATTATAAAACATGTTGGAAACTGTTCTTTGCAATCACAATCATCTGAAAAACCAGCAGAAGATGCCTCGATTAACAGCAGAACAGAGAGAAAGAGCGATTGGCATGCTGCAGCTGGGGGCAACATTTAATCAACAGATTCCTCACCGCGGCGTCATCATCAGTGCTTAGCCTCGGTCATCGCGTCAGCAGGCGGACAGTGTCCAGACGACAACGTCAACATGGAGGTCGGAGCCTGTAGACCATTGAGGGGCATGACGTTACCGCCGGAATATCGACGTCAGAGATTGGTTTTGGCCAGGAATATTCGTCAGTGGCAGCAACGGAACCGTCAACGGGTCCTTTTCGGCGTCGAGAGTAGGTTCCATTTGAAGAGAACTGAGGACCGAAGACGTGTCTACCACCGGCGTGGGGAACGGACGGCACGTTATTTCGTTCAGGAAACGGAACCATATGGTAGAGGGAGTGTGACGGTTTGGGGTGGCATGCGGTAACACCAAGACCGACGTTTTTTATCATCAATGGCAGCCCGTCGGTATATTGATGAAGATCTGTGGCCCCATACCTTGCCTTTCCTCCCGCAATATCCAGGAACCTTGTCTCAAGAACACAATAGAACACCTCACACCGCTTTTGCCACAACGGCCTTCCTCAACGTCAACAACGTGCCCGTCCAGCCTTGGCCATGAAGATCCCCTGACATGTCTCCGACAAACACTTGTGAGGCCATCTTGGACGTCACATTCTACAGCTTCCACACCCTCCATTGATGAGAAATGCACTGGTTCAGGCATTACAAACAGAATTGCGTCGGATCCCCAGTCACGTGATCAAGAGACCTACACACTCGGTCCGACGACGTGTTCTGACGTGCAGTGATGTAAGGGGTGGACATGTGCAGTATCGACGATCTGCCTTCCCATTTCATCGTCTGTTTTGTCATTTGTTGTTTTGGCTTGCGCTCGAATACTGGACAATCGAGGCCCCTGTCACAGCATTCCCTGTACCACTGTTAGGTTTACCACTTTCTCTTTCTTTATGTCAGACATGCTTTACATACACCTTCGTTATGCATATTAAACGTCCATATCTATTCGCGTGTTTGTGCTTGTGTTGTTTGGTAGTTGAAAAAGTACTTGGGGACGTTTCTTTTGCAGGTGAGTGTATATCGCGCCTGGTAGTATTGTTTCAGAAAGAAAGCCTGCACCGCCAATGTGGTTTGTGGTGAGATGAAACCTACGAGCATCGGCTGGAACTGGAACATGGGTGATACTACACTGAAATCTTTCACTATAGTGACGTTATTTGTTTTTGACGACGGTTACGATGGAAAACAAATCCACTTTAAGACCGACGCTGTCATAAATCAAAATATTGGACCGTCTACTAAAGACAATATCATTCAATAGTTTTTACAATTACCATTATTTTTATGTGCATGTTATAACCGCCTTGATGTTTCATTTTCAAATTTTGGGTTTAATTTTAGAATTTAAACACACAGTTTGCATATATCCAAGGCTGACTATCAAATGCCCAGCTGGCCCCTCCCCCCGAATAACCCCCATGGTCGTACATTTTACTAAAGTCTGCTACTGTCACACACCATACACACCGATGATGGTTTCTCGCATATACATCATTGGATTCCACAAACATTTTACACACCACCATACTTCTGTTAGGTCGCATTATATCTATTGGAATATAATTGTAGCCTTGTATATTTGTATATATGTTATTAGTTTGAAAAATGACAAACACGAATCCACACTATATCATAACTTCCATGAATGTCCATCTTATAACACAACTTTTTCATTGTTTTCCCATTATGCCCATCACTTCATGAAACTTACAATGTAAATGTGATAGATAATGGCACCAAATGTACACTTGTCCTTGTAACTCATATGTAAATAGTGTAATGATACACTGCAATTGGAATCACCAATATTTGGTAACATAATGATGTCTCAGGGTTGGTCACGGTCACTTGGTCATATTCTCCACGTAAGGACGCGAGGTCACATCCTTACAATACGCCGGGGAAGTGTATCCAAGCCAGACTATCAAATGCCCAGCTGGCCCCCACGCATTGAGTGACTTTACTTATCAAACACTCGATGCCGGGAGCCCAATGGGGATGGCCAGGGGAACAGGCAATAACCCCTGACCGGCAGAGCACGGGTCAAGGGGCCTTTGGCCGGGTCACTGCAGGTGCCCATCTCGGTAACGGAGCAAAGCTATGAAGTTTAAGTCAACATCAATAAAAGCGCATTTGACCAGTAGTTCACATGTCCAGTTACAATAACCCTGACCAGCAGAACACGGGTCAAAGGACTTTTGGCCAAGTCACTGCAGATACCCGTCTCGGTAATGGCACAAAGCTATTAAAGTTAAGACATCATCAATCAAAGCGCAGTTTGACCCGTAGTTTACATGTCAAGTGGGGAAAATTATCATCACTGACCAGGACCAAGAAGGACCAACCCTGGGTATATAACAGGACAGGCAATATGTCTAGGGACGAGAGGAGTTGGAGCCTACGCCTGACAGTGTAGCTCTGAATAAACAGTTGTGGATCCGCAGACAGACTTGTGTTGTTCATGCAAGGACATCCACTAGAGATACAGCAAAACCATCTCTAAGTGCGATACATATGTCCAGTTATACCGGCTTTACGACAAAGTTCGGGAACCACGTCCTGCAATGTGTTGTGGCCAGCATGTATCTGTAGGGCGCCGTAGTGGCGTCAGGTAGAGTTCATCTCATCACAGGCTCGTGTACTTCTTGTACAGCTCTATCTGACAACGCTCCTACATTCACTTGCATGGTGTGTTACTTCTTTAGGAGTTATTTTGCGATGTTTTTCAAATATCCCCTTTGTACTTAAGATATGCTCGCTTTCCGGTAGGTTCACGCAAGGCGTTCTGAGACGGCTTGTAACGAAGGCTTCTTTGCTCGGATCCACTTCTCAGGAAGAAATGTTTACCGTTTAGATACACCATGGTATTTACAAGAACTCGTTGTGACCTCCATGATGTTTTAGTTTCCACAGTTGGTTCTCTTCCTCATCCCTGATAGGCTCAGCTTGTTTCTTCTTTTGTCCCAATACAGTATTAGTAATTTTCTTAAGTTCGCCATCAAAAACGTGCCTGAATTCCTCGAATTCTGGAGAGTTGAGAATGTCCAGATCTCGCTTGGAGGTAAGACGAATGTGAGACTGAAGTCCCATCACAAGAGACACAGGTGAAGACGGCGGGTGCATCTCTCCATTCTTCTTTCTCACTTCCAGTACAAATCTACTCAACCAGAATGTTAATTCTTCCGTACTGAGTTTTGATAATTTTCTTCTCATTAAAACTGTTGTTATTTCGCATTATTGCCCATGTGTTATAAGTGTTCATGGCCCATGTGTTTCTATGACGGGTGTTCACGGGTGCAGCAGTGCGGGCACCGTCTTTGATGTTTGCATTAGAAGAAATAAACTTGAATGGCACGTCCTCATCGTTTTCTTTTTTTTTTCTTTCTTTCTTTTTAGTGGCATCAACTTCATCGTCGTTGCTTATGTCAGAATAATGATGGAAATCAGCGTTGTGTACCTCCAGGCCCATGAACAGCAGTGAGAGCCTCTGTTTCCTGGCTTGCAGCGACTATTACTTCGTCAGACTCTGTCGACATCTGACTTTATGACACGGGCTCATGCAGTGCTCAAGCAATGCAGTTCTGCATTCAGTTGAGCGAAAGTTCCCGGTATGTTCGTGAGCGTTCGCCAACATCCCATGTTAAAAAGGACACCCGTGGCGAGGTATCTACAACTGAACGCATCCCGGGTCCTGCGTTCAGGACTGTGCGCATGCCCATTCCCGTGGGACGATCTCATGTTGTTTCAAGGGGTGTTTGCGGGATTTTGAGACTAAGTAAGACCTAATCTCTTTTTTTTCATAACAATATTGTATTCATTGGAATAATTTTAGAATCGTTTAGGTTAACTTTTTACCAGCGTGTATTTTAACAAAATAGACTTTTCTTTTCTGATTCGTGTATGATAAATATCAACCTCAGGCGAGGCTGTTATTTACTATTTATTGGCTTAGCACTCTTCTATTATTTTCGATGTACTCCCCTAACAAGCGAGTGACAATTTCTATGTTACCCGCTGCGAATGCCGAACTGTGGGAATTCATTTGGTACTTCGTGCTAATTCTATCTAAATAATTGAGTCACGCATGATGTACGGAAATTACCGATGTTTTGCGAATGCAAATCGGTGTATGGGAGATAACTCTAAATTTGTTTTTATTGTCTATCGGTATTGGCTAATTGCCGAACTCTGGTGCACCTCATAATGATCAGATATTCGTGCTTTAAACAGCTCACAATTCGTTCGGGCTCAGGGAATGTAAACAAACATAGAGGGTTCATCAACCTATATTCCCCTATGACTAGTGAGCAACTTATAAAACAGCTTAATATCCATTATAAAATAAAAATGCTAAAAATAAATGATTAGAAAATGTATTGAAAAGTTCAGAAATTGTTTGAACAACATAAAATAGTTGATAAGTGAGCGAAGTAATTTAAAACACATTCAAACAAAAGATTCTTGACAGTAACGGGAATGTGATACGGAATACATTGACGGGAATATCACCATTCAGTAAACATGATTGAATATAATGTGAGTGTACGTACCATACCACCGAACCCTGTTTCATTTGTCGCAACTATGGAATATTAAGTGAGTGAGTTAAGATTTCAAGACACATCGGCAACATTTCAACCATGACTTGACTACAACACGTTCTCAATACATGATACATGAATTTTAAATGGAGTGAGTGAGTTTAATTTTACGCCGCACTCAGCAATATTCCAGCTGTATGGCGAATGTCTGTAAATAATCGAGTCTGCACCAGACAATTCAGTGATGAGCTTCGATCTGCGCATTTGGGAACCGATGACATGTGTCAACAAAGTCAGCGAGCCTGACCACCCGATCCTGTTAGTCGCCTCTTACGACAAGCATGGGTTACTGAAGGTTCATTCTAACCCGGAGCTGATCAGTTGAATTTTGAAAACCTGGCAACGACGTACAGTAAAAACCACTAGACGATCACAGATTCAGAGTGAATGAGTTAAGATTTTAAGTCACATCGGCAATATTTCAGCCATATCGTGACTAACAATGGGTAATAATTTCATAATAAATACAGGTTAATTATAAAAGTAATTTCATAATAAATGAAGATAAATGATAAAACCCGGTAAACGAAGGACAGTAAAATAACTAGTTTATCACCGATTTCAATTCAAAACTGGTAATGAACTATAGACTGCCAACGGCTGAAGGTAGACACAGATTAAGATATAACACAAGTTTATGTATCCAAAACTTTGTTTGCTATTAATGCAATATAATATGAAAACAGGCGATAGATCACCAACAACTGAAGGTAGATCACCACACAAGGGACTCTCATGTTATGAATAACTATACCAGTGTTGAACAGTGTACATTACGAGGTATGAATATTACATGATATAAACTAGTGATGGAAAGAAATTATACAGTGTTTCACAAAACCTGAAAAGAACAGAAAAGCATATGTAGATGAACATGTGTTTAATTTCTATAGAGTATGCTACTCTACAGCAAATCTACACAATTTCATTTCATACAAAGTCGAAAGAACCATCATAGTCTGAACCTTAACACAAATCAACAAGGCGGAATTGTCTGCAAAAATGTACTGGAAACAAAATTGAAGGGAACACCTTTATAAGAAGACCAACAGTAAGTCGTGTATTTTTAAGACAATGCATAGGTAGCCTATGTTAAAGCGTTGGCTCGTCACGCAGTAGACCCGGGTTCGATTCCCCACATCGGCACAATATGTGAAGCCCATTTCTGGTGTACTCCGCAGTGATATTGCTGGACTATTGCTAAAAGCGGCGTAAAACCATACTCACTCACTAAGACGATGCATATGCTGGATTCGAACCCGATCAGCAATCCCAATCTTTAAAGCATTATTTGCAGTGTTACCAGTGTATCAAGATGCCTAACAGGAAAACAGCGATGGAAAGCTATCGCATGGTACATGGTAACTGGTAGGGAACTTTGTTACAGTGAGAGTATAGTCATTGTGATTTTTGCGACGGAAACTTTGCGATATGTTTCAGAGTCTTTGTGATTTTAGCACCAACAAGGGAAGGATAAGGTACGATAAATGGCCAGTATCCCTACAGAATCAATATTACAATAGAGTTGAATCCACATTTACTTACAGTAGGTTTCTTTCAGTAACGAGTACATATACTGAGTCAAAAAAGAAACTTCACAAAATGTAATTTGAAAAATAATGAATAATTTTTTCTCTGATGATACCCACTCAAACCCATCCATTCGTCGTGCAAATGACGTTAGTGCCAAATCAGGTTTTGCATGTGCAGTCGATCACGTGATCTTCGCATCGAAGTTTTCTTCATATGCACGTGTTTGCATTGGCCTCAAGAAATTAAGAAAACACTTTTAAACCACAGTTCTAACGGTACTTGAAATGCCACGATTGTCAAATGTGCAACGTGAACGTGCCGTTGGCATGTTGCAAGCGGGAAGATCAGTTATAGACGTCGCAAGAGCAGTGGGATGCAGCCGTCGTACTGTGTATGACTTGCGAGGTCGTTCACAACAAACTAGCACCACTTATGATCGCCCAAGGTTGGGTCGTCCACGTGTGACGTCATTAGCAGAAGACCGTCAAATCGTCCTACGTCACCTACGTGACAGATTTCTGCCGGCTACACGAACCAGGGCTGAGATGTTTAGAGGTCGACTGTCCTCAAAGACCATTCGAAATCGGTTGCGGGCTGCCAATCTTCATTCTCGACGTCCATATCGGGGGCCAATATTCACGCCGTTTCATCAACGTCAATGTCTGCTGTGGGCCCAACGTCACCTCCGATGGACCCAGAGAGACAGGAATCGAGTCGTCTTTAGCGATGAATCCAGGTTTACCCTCAGATTCGCGGACGGCAGGCATAGAGTCTGGAGACGACGTCGTGAACGGTATGCCCAATGTTGTGTACAGGAAGTGGACAGATTTGGGGGCAGAAGTTGCATGGAGTGGGGTGCTTTCTGTGGGAACAACCGTTCCCGACTTCTGGTCATCCGTGGAAACCTCACAGCTGCTGCTTACCGCGACCAGGTGCTCACCACTGAACTCGTTCCTTTCATGACGGCTCATGGCCCAGGTGTACAGTTCCAGCATGATAATGCTCGGCCGCATACCTCGATGTTGACACGAAATTTCCTTCAAACCGCTGGAATCAACGTCATGGACTGGCAATCGAGGTCCCCTGACCTTAATCCAATAGAGCACGTTTGGGAGAAGGCTTCGTGGTCTTAGGAACCACCCTCAGAATTTGCAGGAACTTGGCGCTACCCTGCAAGAGCAATGGCGCAGAAACCCAAACCACGTGTTCACAAGCATCAGGCAGTCAATGAAGAGACGGTATTTGGCAGTGGTGAATGCGCGGGGCGGCCATACACGATATTGAACTGAGAAATTTCGCATTTTTATTCTTGTGACTTGACATTCTGTATACCCATGTTTTGGAAATGATTATGGCACTGTCAGTGTATCGAGTACATCACACAGATCTCAGCAATAAAATAATAACAATTTAACCATATTACCATCTCTTGTTCTTTTATAGTGCCCTGAAGAAAGAATGTGAAGTTTCTTTTTTTGACTCAGTATATATGTTGTTCATAAAGCTACTGCTAATCATGTAAAACCATTATTTGTCACGAATACTTTTTGATAAATAATCGGTATATTGTGACAAATAGATCCATACAGAAGTATACAAATATTACAAAGTGTTCCGATTAGGGTGTATCCCCTTTCATCATAAATCATGTGCTGCTTCATCAGCAAAAACACCGTGCATATCAATTTCCATGAATGGGTCTAATGTCACAGAAACTTTGTGATTACGAAACTAATGAAACGGAAAATTCATTCATTGTCACAGATACTTCCCAATGACAAAAAAGAGTTGACGTGGTGTGATTCGTCCAAACCAGTGATGGTGGCAGATCTCAAAATGAGGCAGCACGTTATTATGGATAGTCAAAAAGTGTGTTTTCCCTCCTAATGGAAGATATCAACAAACATGTGACTTGTCACTTCGAGACGGGAGAGGAAGGCTACGAAAGAAGACAATATCGCTTCATTACAACAATTGCACTTCGGTTCGTGACAACATCAGAAATTCAGAGACAATACCGAGCAACAACAGGGATATTTATTTCCTGCAGTACAGCGAGAAACAGACTGAAGTCTGGCCAGTTGAAGTCAAGGCGCATTTTCCGCGGAATTCCACTTCCTGTGCAACCCAGAAGGCTGAGATTTCAGTGGTCTCGACAGTTTGGTAATTGTTACACTAGCTTTACACGATGTCTACTGACGAGTCAAGGTTCCTGTTGAGATTCACAGAGGGTCGACAACGGGTTTGGCGAAGACGCGGGGAGCGATATCATGACGTCAATGTTCAAAGGCATGACAGATACGGTGGTAGAAGTGTAATGTTGTGGGGTGGAATAACGTATGGCCAT